GTTCCATCCACGTTGCTACAAAAGGCCAGATTTCATTCTTTGTCATTTCCAAGTAGTATTCTATTGTACATACAAACCACAACCTCTTTATCCATTCATCAGTGGATGGACATTTAGGCTCTTTCCATAATACACTCTAGTTTCATTCACGTTGTTGGAAACGGAAAGATTTGATTCTTGTTTGATCACCAAGTAATATTCCATTGTGTGTAATACTACACACACACGCACACACCCCACCTTCTTTGTCAGTTGATGGACCTTTGGGCTCTTTACATAATTGGGCTGTTGGTGATAGTGCTGCTGTAAACATCGGGGTGCGTGTGCCCCTGTGAATCAGCATTTTTGTGTCCTTTGGATAAATACCTAGTATTGGAATTGCTGGGTCATGGGGTAGTTTAATTTTTAGTTTTTTGAGGAACCTCCACACTGTCCTCCAGAGCAGCTGCACCAGTGTGCATTCCCACCAGCAGTGCAATGTTTGTTGGTTTATATCCTGTTTATCTGACTTTTTTTGTATAAACTTGGTCCATGTCTTGTCTAATTTCTCCATTGTTTTGACTTGTAACAGCTCTTTGATATTATGAAAATTACTCCTGTCTCCACATCCTCGCGAGTACTTTGTTGCAGTGTATCACTTGTCTTTTGACTTGATTTCGTGCCATCTAGGTTTCTAATTCTTATGTGGTGAGATTGATACTGCTCGTTATTGCTTCTAGGTTGTGTGTCATGTTTGCAAAGGCCTTTCCTTAGAAATTATTCTTAGAAGATCTAGAATGTAAGAAAGGATAATGTTTAAAAGCCAAGATCTTAGAAACAGGGTTGATGCAATGGTTGAATGGAAAAAAGTTACACGCCGAAACTGTGTTATGCACTTTGTGTCTTGTAGGTTTTCTCATGGAGTTTTTAAAAGAAGTGGCAGAGTATCATCAGTCCAGAGCGAGCTGTGATGTGGGAACTCAGACAAGTTCCACATTGCCTGGCCAAGACTCACTTGGTAACTGGCTCTCCTTCAGAATTTTAATGTTTGTTTTCTTCTCAAGTGAAGGAAAGGACCTGATGTGCTGTACTATGGGTCTGTTCCTTGACTGGGAGGGGTGCAAGCCGCAGGGGGCACAGGTGCCTGCTTCCTCTGGAAGCCTCGCGGGAGGCGGCCAGGACTGCTCGCCCGCGCCACCCTCCCCTCTCTGAAGGCCCACGTGCTTCTCTGTGTGTTGGGTTCAACCTCTCATAACTGGGAGGTTCTTCTCTAGGTTTCCTCTAACTTGAATTTATGGCCACTAAGGAAATCCTTGACTGCGTGCCTTGTGGAGAAAACTAGAGAAGTCAGTGGCATATCACTTTGGTTTAGAGCTGAGGAAATAGGGGTCCCCAGAGGAAGCACAACTTGGAAATGTTCCTTCTGGGTCAGAATGGATAGTAGAATCCGAATTTTTTTTTCTTTTTTTAATTTTTAAAAACTTATTTTTGAGAGAGAGGGGGAGGGAGCATGAGCAGGAGATAGGCAGAGGAAGGGAGACACAGAATCTGAAGCAGGCCCCAGGCTTGGAGCTATCTGCACAGATCATGACGACGCGGGGATCAAACTCCTAAACCGGGAGATCATGACCTGAGCCGAAGTTGGACGTTTAACCAACTGAGCCACCCAGGCACCCCTAGAGTCCAAATCTTTCTAAAATTACATGATTAATCAGTTTCTTGGCACCTCCTGAGTCTTAAGGAGAATAATACTTCTAACCAGTAAAAAGAGAAGTCTGTCATTAGTAAAACATAAGCTATATGATGAGGCCTTCATTTTGGCCTAGGTTTTATTCCATTGGGAGCATGGTACATGCTTATTCTAGAGAAGTACTGTCCAATAATAGCCACATGTGTAACTGTTAATTTTCTAGTAGCCATGGGGGGGGAACAGGTGAATTTATTTTAATATAATTTATTTAACCCAGTATGTCCAAAGGATTCCAACATGTAATTGATCCAGAAAACGTTAATGAGATTATTCTATATAAAATTTCCATACTCCATCCTTGAAACCTGGTGTGTCCTTTACACTTAAAGCACCTCTCAATTTGAACTTGTCCCACTTCATGTACTCCGTGGCCACGTGTGGCTAGAGAGTCCTGTATTGGACGACACAATTGTAAAGCATTTGGAAAACCCAGAAAAGTAAATGTAAAACCTGTTGAAAGTTCTCTAAAAAGACGGACGCTGCCAATCTCTTCAAACTACTTGTGTCAGCCACCTTGTCCGGTGCATCCTTTTTGGCGGGTGGTGTTCTCCACGATCGAGCTCATCCTGCAAGTCTGGGTTTGCGGTCGGTTGACACTGGCCCGCAGCTGTTGTGGGGGCTGTGGGTCTACTGGAGAGAGCACTAGAACGACAGCCCAGCAACAGACGAGGTTGCAGCCCCAGTGCTGCCCTTACATAGTTGCTTAGCCCTATGGGACTCACTTAAACTGCACAGGCATCTGCTTCCTTCTCTGCAAAGCAGAGGAGTCAAAATACGTGATCTTTGATTTATTTTAAGGTCCGTGTTTTGAACGTGTCAGTCGACTTTAACCACAGTCCAATAAAAGCACTCTCTGCCTTGGCACTTAGGGACTGGGAAGAGATGCCAGTGTTTTCTGACTTAAGTTGCACTCTTGGCTTTCTTTCCCCCTGACATTGGATGGTGAGAATTTCCGATGTAAGGAATGGTGGAAACGGTTGTACAGTGAACACTTGTATACCTAGACTTACCCGGTAAATTTGTATCCTCCTTGCCTGATCGCTTATCCGACCCATCCATTAATCCATCTTAATTTTGTGGGGTTTCAAAGTAAATTGCAGACATCCTTCCCGTTGCCCCTAAGTATACTCTGTGCTTTTGAACAGAGCTCCAGCCTCTTGCTCAACTGACGACAGTTCCCTATGCTAATTTCCTATGTTGTTGTTTTAACAGTGGAGAAGCTTCAGCTTATTGATGATCAGTTTGCAGATGCTTACCCTCAGCGTCGTCCAAAGTTAGAATCCTTAGAAGTAAAGTTAAATGAACATAAGAGAGAAATAGAACAGCAGCTTCGGGCAGAAATGTGTCAAAAGGTGAGCTGTATCTTGTTGCTGTGCTTGTCTTGAATGTCTTTAAAAAAAAAAAAAAAGTTTAAGAGCAAATGTAAGCAGGGGAGGGGCTGAGAGAAGGTGAGAGAGAATCCTTAGCAGGCTCCACGCTGTCAGCATAGAACCTGACTCAGGGCTCGAGCTCAAGAACCATGAGATCATGAACTGAGCCGAAATCAAGAAGTCAGACGTGTCACCAACTGAGCCACCCAGGTGTCCTGTGATGTCTTCATCTTGGGTATGGGGGGGAAAAATAGAGAATTTTTATTAACAAATGTGATACACTGTTACGCATGATTTTTCTTTCCAACTGATGTCATTTCTTATGCCTTTTGAGTGAATCCTACAGGTACGTGAATGAGATGAAACTAAAGATGAGTTAAACTAAGTATATTTAGAGCATTAGTGTTAAACCTAACCCTGAAGAGAGAAGTTATTTTCTTAGTATAGTTTTGGTATTTACAATAATTGGTGATCGATTGGCAGTTAAAGTATTTTAAAGATACTGAAGTAGCAAAAGTTAAGATGGAAGAGAAAAGAAAGTCTGAGAGGGAATTGGCTGAGTTCCGGAACGAATTGGAGAGAGCTTGTCGAGCAAAATCTGACGCCCTTATTTCTCGGGAGAAGTTGGCTTTTGAGAGAATTCAGAAGCACCAAGAGGTAAGATTTTACAATTCTTTGCCAGGTGTCTATTTCCTGTGGCTGTTTGTAGATGGGCTTCAGGCCCTAGAGTGAGTTGTGACAGTTGGTTAGCCAAGATCAAGCCCTACAGGTGTATGAGGGATGGAGGTCAAGAGCACAAGTGGTAGGACTGGCCTTGAAAAGGTTATGGAGACTTCCTCCCCGGAGAGTGCTGGGAGGAAGGGACCGCGGGTGCTAGCTTCCATGTTGGGAGCAGGCAAAACTCCCCGCTGAATACACTCCCTCCTCTCGGGCAGATGGGAGGGTCGGGGGGCAGCCTCGAGGAGAGGATCGGTGTGGAATGGCTGTGTGGGGGTGGGGGCCGAACAGCCCTCCGAAGCGGGCCGGACTGGCAGAGCTGTGTGGAGGCCCTGGCCGTGACACGGGCATCCCGCAGCCGAAGTGGATCGAACCAGGCGCTTGTAGGCAGTTGGTGTGGTACAGTCAGGTTAGCGAGGGCGGGAAGATCGAGGCGCTTGGGCAGTGGACCTGACGGAGCTGAGTTTACTTGGCTTGAGAAGGGCAGCCTCTTGAGGACATTGGGGTTCGGCGGGGTGGTGAAAGGGGCCGGAGGGGATGGTGGGCGGCTACTACCCCAGGGGGTTGGTGGGGGGAAACAGGGCTGTGTGGTGTTCTCGGAGGCCTCCAGGACAAGATGTCGGGACACTGATGGATGGAAGAGTAAGCGTGGGCCCGGAGGACAGGGCTGCAGGTTGAGATGTTGTGTGGAGACTAGAAACAAAGTACAGCATGCTGCCCTTGGGTCACAGGGGTTGAGGGTCCCTGGAGTAGCAGAGTCTAGGATTGTGAAATGGTCATTCGATTTCTCCTGGAAAGTGACTGGACAGGAAGTGGAAAGGGCAAGGAGTGGCAGGAGGGATGGGGTCCACTCTTTCAGGAAAAACTGGTTCCTTTCCCAAGCAGCTGTCTTAGACGAGCCTGGATTCGGGACACCGTTTGCTGTGTCCAGCCAGAACCGCTGCTATGTGGAGACCTCGAAAGTTGGAGGGCTCCCTCCCAGCGCCCACCCTTGATTACAACTGCTCAGGAAGACCCAGTCATGTCCTATGATTTCGTGTACCGTTTCTGGTGATGGGGCTCTTAGAAAAAAAATCAATGTTGGAGCCACTGTCTTTGAGACGATTGGATGTTTACATTAACAACTGCATCCTCAAGACGGGTGACTGGCTAGTTCAGATCAGTTACCAGACCAGAATATTCATTGAGTTTGCTGATTCTCTTAAGGCTCTGGACAAGATGGCCATCCTCATGCCAAGCATCCTGGCTTTATTCCACTACCTGCAATGCCCTTCTTGTGCCCCCGATGAAACCCTCTTGGCCTTCAAATCCAGCTTCTGTGTCCCTTCCTTGTAATGCCTTCCCTGACTGACTCACTCAGGGTCCTGTTCCTGCCACAGTCCTGAAGTATTTTAGTTATAAAAGTCATCACATCCTAGTGTGTAATTTCGCTTTCCCTGACTACACTGAATTTTGGAAAGATGGGAACTCTACCTGTTCGTCTTTCTCTAGTTCTGAGTGTGCTGTTAGACACATGCCAGGTACTCCGTGAAGCCTTGCTCAGCGAACACACAAATGGAAGTGTGGCCCATTCATTCACCTTGTTAACCGAGTCAGAATGACCTATGAACTGAAACTTTGAGACGACAGAACCAGGGGCATTCTATTCTTTGGAAGTTTTATTGCTACATGCACATTTCGTGTCCTTTTCTTGCTGACGCACTTGTCGAAATGTTAAGTGTCTGGGGGATGTCCGTTAGGTAGATTAAACAGAGCAGAGATGTTAGGAATATATGCTAATGGGGCCAAACAGTCATTGAAGGAGGGAATGCATGTTTGGGTGGCTAAATGGGCAAAAAGAGTATCCTGATTAGAACCTCTTGAAAGTGAAATTGTAACCCTAAGTATCTGTAGTTCTCTGGAATTGAGGAAGCACTATATTAGTTCAGATCTGTTGTATCTTTAGCTTGCTTGCTGAAAACTAACGGTTTTGTACACAGATTGAAACCAAGGAGATTTATGCTCAGAGACAACTTCTCCTCAAAGATATAGACATGCTAAGAGGCAGAGAAGCAGAGCTGAAGCAAAGAATGGAAGCTTTTGAATTGTGAGTAACGTGTGTTCGTTTGGGATATTCAGAATGACGATTCAAAAGAACTAAATACACGTCTTAATAGTCTGATGTTAACTGCCAAATAGAGTGTTCACTTGTAAAGGGGATCCCACCTAGCTTTAAAAGGCACAAATGAAGAGAAAGACTAGGGTTTCACTTATGAACTAGTACACATTAGAATGAAAAGCAGAGTGAGATGCCATCATCGGGCTACAGTATGACCAGACACGTGACTTGAAGAAGCTGATAATGCTTGAACAAATGCCATGTTTCTCACTTACATCCATTTATTCACATCCAGTAGCTGCATGTGTGCAAAGTAACAATTCCAGATACCCGGACCTGCCGCCCTCTCCTGCACTGCTGCTGTCGGGGGAGGGGGAAGACGGTGGCTCTGACTCAACTCCTACTGGGCGAAGAAACTACTGGTGGTTGTTTGGGTTTTTTTTGTTTGTTTGTTTTTTCTTAGTACCAATTGCGGAGAGGCAGAGAGAGAGGGAGACAGAATCTGAAGCAGGCTCCAGGCTCTTGGCTGTCAGCACAGAGCCTGACCAGGGGCTTGAACTCCTGAACTGCACAGTTAGAACCTGAGCCAAAGTCGGACGCTTAGCCACACGCTGAGCCACCCAGGCACCCCTGGGTGAAACCATTTCTCTTGGTGTGTGTGTTCCTTTCCCTAAGTGCTCACATCTGTATCCTCCTTCATATCTCAGCTGGGATTAAGAGCAAGCTCCCCAGTCTGTAGTTGGTGGAATTAAGCTTTCTTTCCCATTTGGCGTCTTGAAACTCGAAATATTCCAGGAACCCTATTTTATTTAAGAGGTTTGTCTTTGTCTTTATTAATGTTTTTCATTTACGTAAGTTCTGTTCATTTGATTTCTTCCTACCTTACTCTCTTTGGGAATTCTCAAGTGGCAGTTTGCTAATGTGAGAGAAAAGAAAAGGGACAAAGTTTGGGCAGATTCTGGATTGTATAATCATGATTATGTAACCACTTCTTGAACCTCTGTTTGCCCTGCTTCTCCCTTGTAAGCACATTAACTGAAGTGAATGGATTTACTCGTCCTTTGCTGTACAGATGGGGCAGCAGAGGGAGCCCTAACAGCAAGCCTTTATGCTTGGCCGGGAGCCCTCCCATCCCTGTGGTTTGGTCTAACTGCCTGTGAACCTGATTCCTGGCTCTGGAATTGGTTTTGTAGGTGTTTGAAGGTCTCCCCACGAAAAGCACTCCATTCTTCGGATTTGGAGGTTCTGATGGGCCTACCTTCTGTTTTCGGCATCTTCAGTCAATAGATAAGGGATGCCCAAAACGAATCTTCCACCTCTAATTTTTAGGGACCAGTTAACTCTCACAGTTAGAAATAACAGTCTAGAAGAAACAAACACTTAAGGTACACTAAAGTTGGCTTTGTGGCTTTGTAACTAAAAGCATCCTTCTTTCACCCCTCAGTTGATTGTGACCCTTTGTCCCCTGTACCCCCCTTTTTGAGTGTGGGTTCTCTCCTGTAAGTGTAGAAAAGTAAGAAACCACTTTGGTCACCACGCATTGACACTCCCCTTAGCCAGGTGCCGCCATAGAAGGCCATCTGCTAGCTAATGAACTAAGTCAGTTCGTAAAGTAGATGGACTTCTGGCTCTTTCAGTTCACTTCCCAGCAGGGAGGCCTTGTGAAGGTTTTACTCTGGAGCTAAAAACACAAGGTGTCTCTTTCCCTCTAAATGTGTTACTTCCGATGTTGGGGTTTTCTTACCTGCTTTCTTTCTCTTTGGCTAATTGCAGGGCTCAGCGGCTACAAGAAGAAAAAAATAAAAGAGCAAGCGATGCACTTAGGAAACGGGAGCTGAATGTCCAGAGTATTGAGGAGACCTATGACCAGAAGCTCAAGAATGAGCTGCTCAAGTAATTGCTTGGCCTTGTTAAATCCTGTGTCTGAATTAAGTTGCTGGAAACATGGCCACACTGATGAAGTAGATAGAGCCGATGGTTGATGGCAAAATTGAGGGTTGAAAAACATCTATGTTGTCATTGGTAGTCCAGCCTTTCCTGTGAGCATTTAAGATGGGTTTAAAAAGATAGAGAATAGCATGCTCTGCTCATTTGACAAAAAAAAAAAAAAAAAAAAAAAAAAAAAATTGTTTTTAGCATTTGTTTTTGAGAGAGCAAGCAGGAGGAGTTGGCAGAGAGAGGGGGACCCAGAATCCAAAGCAGGCTCCAGGCTCTGAACTGTCAGCTCAGAGCCCAACACAGGGCTCAAACTCCTGAACCACAAGGTCATGACCTAAGCCAAAGTTGGACACTCAACACACTGAGCCACCCAGGCATCTCTCATTCTTCCTCATAGCTTCTCTGACACTTCCTGAGTGCCTGTGGTTTGTTTTAAGTTGTTAGGGCACTTTACGACTTGCTCAGTTTGCACAGCCAAGAAGTCATAACATTGAAATTAATAAGTGCTCAGTTAATAGTGAGTAAATGCATGTGTAGTGAAGAGAGGATTCAACTCGGCTTCTCAGGGTATTTATTAGTAATTGACCTCATTTTTATTGCCTTGCTCTTAATTTGTCATTGTGCCATTACATCATACCTGCAAAGGTTTCTGGAGGCTCTTTTACTTTTGAGAGAATGAGGACGAGCAGGGGAGGGGCAGAGAGAGAGAGAGAGAGATGGAGACAGACCCAGAATCTGAAGCAGGCTCCAGGCTCTGAGCTGTCAGCACAGAGCCTGACACGAGGCTCAAACTCATGAACCATGAGACCATGCCCGGAGCCAAAGTCAGATGCTCAATCAACTGAGCCACCCAGGCTCCCCTGGAGGTTGTTTTTAAAAACTGCTGTTAAAGATAAGTAGGGGGCGTCTGGGTGGCTCAGTCGGTTAAGCGTCTGACTTCGGCTCAGTTCATGATCTCATGGTTGGTGAGTTTGAGCACCGCGTCGGGCTCTGCGCGGACAGTGTGGAGCCTGTTAGGGATTCTGTCTCTGTCTCTCTAATTAAAAATAAAACTTAAACACCATTTTCATTGTATGACTTTTGAAACAGTGGATTTTAGGTACATATTTTATGTCCACTCCTCTAACCTACTAGTGAACACTGAAGTAGCTCTAGTCATTAAATGCAGAATAAATGAAACACGTATATGTGAATTCAGCATAGCCGTGGATACAGAGAACTGTTGGGTATCGTTTGTCTTGGTGTGTCCTTGGAGGCCTCGGGTGTCCTTCTATGGTTTCAGCCAGTGTTGAATTTGGGAGGACATCATGGGAGTGCCTCTCTGCTTTTTCTGACCTCTCAACCGCAAAGTCAGTTGGCAACAGCTGGTGGAGGTGGCTGAAACCCCGTAAGATGAGCCTTTGGGTGTCTCTAATTCAGATCTCATGCTGTTGGCAGTCGGCCGTCAGGACTGTGCTCAGCCCCTAAGGGCAAAAGTTCCTCTCTGAGGGAAGAGAGACGGGACAGGTGAATTGCAAGTGACCGACTTGGTTATCATTTGGGATTTAGGGCCCGTCACGCACACCGGAAGTTTAACTTAATTGACTTCTTGGTGTCGGTCGAGACCAAGGGAGAGAGAATTGTGCTTGGTGACCTCGCAACAACAGGACCCTTCGTTTTGTGTGATTGAGTTTGGGGACCGAATTTACAGGATCACAACAGAGTTCTCCAGACCTTTCACGTTTGGAATTCAGATCCTTGGCTCTCTTCCTGAGAGAGTCTGAGGTTTGCACGTGGTCACTTTCGGTGCCCCGGTCCCGTAGATAAGCTCGGGTATTGATAGTCCATCCAGGAGAGTGACAAGCTCATTTTAGTTTTTCTGACCTGCAGGTATCAACTTGAACTCCAGGACAACTATATCGCTAGAACTCACAGGCTGATAGAAGATGAAAAGAAGAATAAAGGTGACTCTGGGGACGAGCTCTGTTCACTGTGACAGAGGCTGTTAGGTTGCGAGTGCCTGTTCTGTATTCTAAAAAAACCTATCGTTTACACCTGGTGTTACTGCAAAAAGTACATGGTTTTTATTAATCTTACAAAATTGGTTTTTTAATACATTTTTGTGAATCTTCACGTTTAACCTTTCGTATATTCGCAAAGGTTAGTGATTCACCAGCAGGATTTTATCCCACTTTCTTTCAGTGTATTTTGATAGATGTGACTATCAAAGTGGCAGCGACTTTTTGCCATCGGGTAAATACTATTAACCACGAGACTACAATTTTTACTTCTGGAAAATTGTAACTTCTCTGTCCCTGTGATCTAGTTTATTTCTTCTACTTCTAATGTATTCGTATGCTTCATGATATTTTCATGTGACATAGAATCTTTTCTTGGTAAGTTTTTTTTATTTGAGAGAGAAAGGAACCCCAAGTAGGCTCCACACTATCAGTACAGAGCCTGATGCGGGGATCAAACTCCTGGAACTGGGAGATGACGATCTGACCCAAAACCAAGAGTCGGATGCTTAACCAACTGAGTGACCCAGGCGCCCCTACTTGACCTATAATCCCTTAAATTCTTGAATATATTAGCTTAAGAGTAGGAAAGCTGGATAATTTTTTAGTCTTTGGGATACTGGACATCTTCATATATTTCTGGGAATTTGTCGATGAAAAGAAGTTAAACTTCTAGTGGCGATTTCAAATGGACTCTTGGGAGTAAACCAAGGCTAAGCACTTGATGCTGACTGGTCAGGTCACCCCGTGTACATCTGCTCGCAGCTAGCCTGTGGAGGCTGATACTTCTATGTACCCGTGCTGTCACGCGTTCAGCAAGTCAGGGTTTTGATGTTACATCTCCATAGACCGTGTTAGATGAAGTGAAAATGACAAAATCATAAATACAGAATCCCAACAGACAAATCTGTCTTTAAGGAAGTTCTGACCTGACGGTGCGCGGGCCCTGTGCTCAGAGCCGATGGTGTAAGTGGTGACTTTTGTGCAGCAGGACTAGGCTTGCCGCGTATTCGACCGTTAGAGTTACTTGCCGTCACATGTTGAGTAATGGGGCTTGTTTCTTACTTGGCTGCTGATTTGTTTTGACCTTGACATCTGCTATTCAGATAATGAAATAATGGTCGTTAGGTGTGACATAGTGGCCGTAAGTTATTAAACGACTTGTATTCACTAGGAAAACTTGATGTTAATTGGTTGGCTCTTTTCTTTCAGAAAAAGCTATACATTTGCAAGAGGAGCTCACAGCTATTAATGCGAAAAAGGAAGAATTTGGTCATTCTGTAAAACGTGTCAAAGAGCTCGAGGTAATGAAGTCTTGTGTTTTGAAATCGACATGAGGCAATATATGAACCTAGAGCTTTAGTCCTGCGTGATTTATCTTACGTTGTCCTCTTGACGTGTTGGGACTTGTTTCCATCTTAGTCTCCTGGGGAAGCACAGCAAGAGGATGTCCTTTGGGGCCTAGATCCCTGCCTGAATCCCGTGTCTCTCCCTTTCTGCTTGTGTGCCTTGGGGCGAGCTCTGTGACCTCAGACTCCTCCTGTGTAAACTCTGGGATGTTCCCACCATGCGTGGTTGTGGAGGGAGTTCGGGGAGCTGAGTTTTGCACGTCGTACGCGGCTTGTATGCACTAGCTTCTACCTCAGCCTCTTCTCCCTTCCCATCAAGGGCAGGAAGACTTCCTGTCAGGATGTCAGGATCTCCCAGCTTAAAACCCGATGAGATGCGCTTTTCACATGCCACTGTTACTTCACTTGGATTAAGCTGTGTGTTTGCGGGGCACCTGGGTGGCTCAGTCGTTTAAAGCGTCCAACTTCGGCTCAGGTCGTGATCTCACAGTTCATGGGTTCGAGTCCTGCGTCTGGCTGTGTGCTGACAGCTTGGAGCCTGGAGTCTGCTTTGGATTCTGTGTCTCCCTCTCTCGTTCTCTTTTTCTGCCTCTCTCAAAAAAAATAAAAACTTCTGTGCTATGTGAAGGACAGAGGTGGAACTTGAGGTACATAAAATGTTAGGCACAGAACCTATTTTTGTAGCCTGTTTTGTAGCACTTTAGACAGTTTGTAAGGACTTGTGTGTTAGAGAACTCTGTAGGCTTCTGTAACCACACTTGAGCTGTATTGTACTACTAAGAGGAAAGCACCCCACAGCGCGTTAGTGAGATCTCCCCCTTTGATACTTAAGAAATGCCTTGCTGCAATCTGGGGTTGATTTGGGGGGCCCTTAGTTGCCTCTGGAGGAGAGGACTTCTGCTGTGGTTCGGGTCTCCTTGCAGAGAAACAGACTTGGGTCAGATGACCTTCATTAAATCGTGGCGCCCAGCCTCAGGCAGCTTGGCAGCCTGGACTTAGGCGGTACTGTAGCCACCCACTGTTCACAGACAGGTGTTGCTGTTTCGATTCCAGCTTGAGTTAGAGTCGGTCAGAACCCAGTCTTTGGCGATAAGCAAGCAAAACCACCTGCTGAGAGAAAAGGTGAAAGAAATGAGTGACTATTCGCTACTGAAACAAGGGAAACAGGAGCTTCAGGAGCAAAATAAATTACTTAAACAACAGCTGGAAGAGACCAGAAGTGAGAACTTGCGTCTTCTAAACCGTAAGTCTTGTCCGGATTGGCTTGTCTTTGTGATTGACACTGGCTCAGTATTCTGAAACTGCTCTGTCCTGTAAGGGAGGCTTCAGTTGAGAAGATTTTCTCAAATTTCGTGGATTGAAGGTACATTCTTTTCACTCGCTGCCACAAAATTGCATCACTAACAAGTTTTCAACTGTATAAATACGCCTCTCCGGGTGGCCCTTGGCTCTCCTTCCCTCTGAATGCTGGTTGGGTTTGGCCAGTGGGGACACAC